ACAACATGCTCCTGAATGAATAGCGGGTCATAGAAGAAATCAAAAGAGAAATCAAAAACTTTCTGGAAGTAAGTGAGTATAACAGCACAACATAACAAAACTTATGGGATACATCAAAAGCAGTGTTAAGAGGAAAGTTTACAGCAATAGGTGCCTAAATCGAGAAATTGCAAATGCACCAAATAAATGAGGTTTCACTGCATCTCAAGGATCTAGAAAACCTGCAGCAAACCAGGCCCAAATCTAGTAGGAGAAGAGAAATAATTAAAATCAGAGAAGAAATCCATAGGATTGAATCCAAAAAAGCATTACAAAAAATCAGCCAAATGAGGAGCTGGTTTTCTGACAAAAAATTTGATACCCCATTAGCCCAACTAACTGAAAAAAGAAGAGAAAAGACTAAAATAAATAAAATCAGAGATGAAAAAGGAAATGTAACAACAGACACCACAAAAATAAAATAATCATCAGAGAGGGAAGAGATGTGCAATTTGGGACATGCTCAAGCTGACTTACCTCAAACGGTAGAGTTAGAAACATACCAGGGGATTCCAATTCAATCCCATCAAGGTGGCATGTACCAATGTCATCTCAGTATTCCAAGTGATCAATTTCAGTTCACAATTGATCATAATGAAAGGACTAAGAGTCAAAGGGAGCACATAAACAAGTCTAGTACCTGCTAACACTAACCGATAGAATAAATAAAGGGGAGAGTGATCCAACAAGGGAAGTGAGATACTCAGCAGACTCATAGAATGGCAGATGTCCTAAATAGCACTCTGGCCTCAGAATCAGCCCTAAAGGCATGTGGATCTGGCTGAAAAGCCCATGAGAGTATTTCAGGCATGGAAAGCCAAGACACTCTGGCAAAAGATCTCTGTGAGTGTGATCCCAGTGGAAAGAACAGGTCATCAAAGAAGGAGGTACCTTTCTCTGAAGGGAGGAGAGAACCTCCACTTTGACTATGACCTTGTCTAAACAAGATAAGAATCGGAGAACTCAGAGGGCTTCCATAGCCTTGGACACTCATGACTGGAGCATAGGGAGATTACTGATGCCATAGACAGGAGTGTCAATTGGTAAAGTCAACACCAGGAGTCACTGTGCACTTACTCCTCGTGTAGGATCTCTATCCTTCATGTGCTGTGCATTGAGATTTAATGCTATAACGAGTACTCAAACAATATATATCACTTTGTGTTTCTATGTGTGGTGCAAACTGTTGAAATCCTTACTTAATGCGTACTAAACTGATCCTCTGATAAAAAAAAAAAGAAATTATCAACTCCCAACTTGACTCTCACTGGGATTAAACATGACAATAGGTCTGATCTGATTTCATCATCATTTAAAAAAATCATCTATTATTTTTCACTTTATGTTTCTGTGTGGGAGCAAACTGTTGAAATCCTTACTTAATGTATACTAAGCTGATCTTCTGTATATTAAGATAATCGAAAATGAATCTTGATGTGAATGGAAGGGGAGAGGGAGTGGGAAAGGGGAGGGTTGCGGGTGGGAGGGATGGTATGGGTGGGAAGCCATTGTAATCCATAAATCGTACTTTGGAAATTTATATTCATTAAATAAAAGTTAAAAAAATAAAAATAAAATAATCATCAAAATACTACAAAAATTACTACAAGGAATTGTATGCCAGTATACAGGGAAATCTATCAGAAATGGATAGATTCCTGGGCACGTGCTACCTACCTAAATTGAACCATAAAGACACAGAAAACCACAGACCCATAACTGAGACAGAAATTGAAACAGTAATAGAGACTCGCCCAGCAAAGAAAAGCCCAGGACCAGATGGATTCACTGCTGAATTCTACTAGACATTTAAAGAAGAACTAATCCCATTTCTTCTCAAACTATTCAGAACAATCGAAGAAGAGGGAATCCTCCCAAATCCTTTCTATGAAGCCAGCATCACCTTAATTCCTAAGCCGGAAAAAGATGCAGCATTGAAAGAAAATTACAGACCAATATCCCTGATGAACATAGATGCAAAAATCCTCAATAAAATTCTGGCCAATAGAATGCAACAATACATCAGAAAGATCATCCACCCAGACCAAGTGGGATTTATCCCTGGTATGCAGGGATGGTTTAATGTTCACAAATCAATCAATGTGATACACCACATTAACAAACTGCAGAAGAAAAACCATATGATTCTCTCAATAGATGCAGAGAAATCATTCGATAAAATACAGCACCCTTTCATGATGAAAACTCTAAGCAAACTGGGTATAGATGGAACATTTCCCAATACAATCAAAGCAATTTATGAGAAACCCATGGCCAGCATCCTATAGAATGGGGAAAAGTTGGAAGCATTTCCACTGAGATCTGGTACCAGACAGTGATGCCCACTCTCACCACAGCTATTCAATATAGTTCTGGACATTTTATCCAGAGCCATTAGGCAAGAAAAAGAAATTAAAGAGATACAAATTTGGAAGGAAGTAATCAAACTATCCCTCTTGGCAGATGATATGATTCTTTATTTAGGGAACCAAAGAACTCTACTAAGATACTAAGATACTACTGGAACTCATAGAAGAGTTTGGCATAGTAGCAGGATATAAAATCAATGCACATAAATCAAAAGCCTTTGTAAACACAGGCAATGCCATGGCTGAGAAACAACTTCTGAGATCAATCCCATTCACAATAGCCACAAAAGCAATCAAATACCTTGGAATAAACTTAACCAAGGACGTTAAAGATCTCTACGATGAGAATTACAAAATGTTTAAAGAAAGAAACAGAAAATGATACCAAAAAATGGAAAAATCTTCCATGCTCATGGATTGGAAGAACCAACATCATCAAAATGTCCATTCTCCCAAAAGCAATTTATAGATTCAATGCAATACCAATCAAGATACCAAAGACCTTCTTCTCAGATCTTGAAAAAATGATGCAGAAATTCATAGGCAGACAAAGGAGACCTCGAATAGCTAAAGCAATCTTGTACAACAGAAACAAAGCCGGAGGCATCACAATACCAGTTTTCAGGGCATACTACAGGGCAGTTGTAATCAAAACAGCATGGTACTGGTAAAGAAACAGAAGGATAGACCAAAAGAACAGAATAGAAACACCAGAAATCAACCCAAACATCTACAGCCAACTTATATTTAATCAAGGATCCAAAAACAATCCCCAGAGTAAGAACAGTCTATTCAATAAATGGTGCTAGAAAAATTGGATTTCCACGTGCAGAAGCATGAAGCAAGACCCCTACCTTTCACCTTACACAAAAAATCCACTCAACATGGATTAAAGACTTAAATCTACGACCCGACACCATCAAATTATTAGAGAACATTGGAGAAACTCGGAAAGATATAGGCACAAGCAAAGACTTCTTGGAGAAGACCCCAGAGGCACAGGCAGTCAAAGCCAAAATTAACAATCAGGATTACATCAAATTGAGAAGTTTCTGTACTGCAAAAGAAACAGTCAGGAAAATGAAGGGGCAACCAACAGAATGGGAAAAATATTTGCAAACTCTGCAACAGATAAAGGGTTAATAACCAGAATCTACAAAGAGATCAAGAAACTCCACAAAAACAAAACAAACAACCCACTTAAGAGATGGGCCAAGGACCTCATTAGACATTTTTCAAAAGAGGAAATCCAAATGGCCAACAGATACATGAAAAATGTTCAGGATCACTAGAAATCAGGGAAATGCAAATCAAAACTACAATGAGGTTTCGCCTCACCCTGGGTAGAATGGCTCACATTCAGAAATCTACCAACAACAGACGCTGGAGAAGATGTGGGGGAAAAGGGACACTAACCCACTGTTGGTGGGAAGTCAGTCTGGAGATTCCTCAGAAACCTGAATAGAACCCTACCATTCAACCCAGCCATCCCACTCCTTGGAATTTACCCAAAGGAAATTAAATTGGCAAACAAACAATCTGTCTGCACATTAATGTTTATTGCAGCTCAATTCACAATAGCTAAGATCTGGAAACAACCCAAATGCCCATCAAAAGTAGACTTTATGAAGAAATTATGGGATATGTACTCTATAGAATACTATACAGCAGTCAAAAACAATGAAATCTGGTCATTAGCAAAAAAATGGAGGAAACTGGAAAATATCATGCTGAGTGAAATAAGCCAGTCCCAAAGTGACAAATATCATATGTTCTCTCTGAGCAGTGACAACTAACCCAGCACCAAAAAGGAAACCTGTTCAAGTAAAATGGACACTATGAGAAACAGTGACTTGATCAGCCCTTGTCCTGACTGTTGATGTACAACTTAATACTTTATCCCTTTTAGTATTTTTTGTTCTGCTTAATAGTATTGGTTGAACTCTGTAATTAACACACAATTATTCTTAGGTTTTTAAATTTAACTGAAAAGTGATCTCTGTTAAATATAAGAGTGGGAATTAGAGAAGGAGGAGATGTACAATTTGGAATATGCTCAAGCTGACTTCCACAAATGGTAGAGTTAGAAATGTTTCAGGGGTTTCCAATTCAATCCCATCAAGGTGGCATGTACCAGTGCCATTTCAGTAGTCAAAGTGATTAATTACAGTTTACAATTGATCATAATGATAGGACTAAGAACCAAAGGGATCACATAAACAACAATAGTGTCTGCTAATACTAACTGATAGAATAAAAAAGGGAGAGAACAATCCAACATGGGAAGCGAAATACACAGCAGACTCATAGAATGGCAGTTGTCCTAAACAGCACTCTGGCCTCAGAATCAGCCCTTAAGGCATTCGGATCTGGCTGAAGAGCCCATGAGAGTATTTTAGGCATGTAAAGCCAGGACACTGTGGCAAAAAAAAAAAAAAAAAAAAATCCTAAATCAAAGATCTCTGTGAGTGAGATCCCAATGGAAAGAATGGGCCATCAGAGAAGGAGGTACTGGGGAGTGCATGGGCGTGGTTGGCTTGCCGTTGCCGCGGTGACTGGCCTTGAAGTCTGTTGGCTAGCGTGCCACCCCATCCCCGCTGCCCCCTGCCCTGTCACACGCTGGGGGTGTTGCTCGCACCTCCTGAGTTGCAGCCGCAGTCGCCGCTGCTCCTCCTCTCCTTCTTGGGTTTCCCTGGTGCTACCGCCGCCACTGCTACCTCTGTGGACTGTATGAGGAGGAGGAGGCGGAGGATGTGAAGATGGCGGAGCTGCAGATGCTGCTGGAAGAGGAAATCCTGGGGGGTGCCGCCGGGCCCTTTTCAACAGTTACATCAATCTGGAGCTGGTGACTGATTACTGCAAGAACAACTACATACAGTCAGCAGATAAGCAGCGTGCCCTAGAAGAAACCAAAGCCTACACCACCCAGTCCTTAGCAAGTGTTGCCTATCTGATAAACACCTTGGCCAACAATGTCCTGCAGATGCTGGATATCCAGGCCTCTCAGCTGCAGAGGATGGAATCTTCAATCAATCATATTTCACAAACAGTTGATATTCATAAAGAGTAATTTGCAAGAAGAGAAATTGGAATTTTGACTACCAATAAGAACATTTCAAGGACACATAAGATTATTGCTCCAGCCAACCTTGAATGGCCCATTCGTTATATTAGAAAACCTAGTGGCTATACAATTCTAGATGACATTGGGCATGGAATAAAGTTGAGTACCCAGAATATGAAGATGGGTGGGCTGCCACGTACCACACCTCCAACTCAGAAACCTCCCAGTCCCCCCATGTCAGGGAAGGGGACTCTTGGGCGGCACTGCCCCTATCGCACACTGGAGACAGTGCGTCCTCCAGTGGTACCAAATGATTACGTACCTAGCCCAACCCGTAATATGGCTCCCTCAGAGCAGAGCCCTGTGAGGACAGCTTCTGTGAATCAAAGAAATCGAACTTACAGCAGCAGTGGGAGTAGTGGAGGAAGCCACCCCAGTAGTCGGTGCAGCAGTCGGGAAAACAGTGGAAGTGGGAGTGTGGGGGTGCCTATTGCTGTTCCTACTCCGTCTCCTCCCAGGGTCTTTCCAGGTCATCCTTTTAAGTTCTACAGCATGAATAGGCCTGCCTCTCGCCATACTCCCCCAACCATAGGGGGCTCCTTGCCCTCCAGACGCCCTCCTTCTATAACTTCACAAACAAGCCTTCAGAATCAGATCAATGGAGGACCATTTTATAACCAGAACCCAGTATCTCTTGCTCCTCCTCCTCCTCCCTCCATCCTACAGGTAACTCCTCAGTTACCTTTAATGGGATTTGTGGCCAGAGTCCAAGAAAATATTTCAGATACACCGCCTCCGCCACCACCTGTGGAAGAACCTGTCTTCAATGAGCGCCCTCCTCCCCCGCCTCTCCCGGGAGATTATGAAGAGGAGGAAGCAGCTGTGGTGGAGTACAGCGACCCTTACGCCAAGGAGGACCCGCCCTGGGAGCCCAGGGCATACTTGGAGAAAGTTGTGGCAATTTATGATTACACAAAAAAAGACAAGGAGGATGAGCTGTCCTTCCAGGAAGGAGCCATCAGCTACGTCAAGAAGAATGACGACGGCTGGTGCGAGGGCGTGATGAACGGAGTGACTGGGCTCTTCCTGGGCAACTACGTGGAGTACATCATGCATTATTCCGAGAGACGCGCCGGGGGCTGTGTGGCCCTCGCAGGAACAGTCAGGTCTCCCCGGAGTACTCACGGCCCGGCGCCCCTCCCAGTGAAACAGAACGAAGGATATAAACGATAAAATGACTTTTTTTTTAATCCCCGAGTATTGAAAACAAACAAGAAAGCCAACTCTGAGCAGACGGGTCTTTCTGCAGTGATTGGTGCTACGCTGAGATGTCGAGTGATGCGCCATGACCGGTTCCAAGGATGGCAAAGGTGGAACCGCCTAACCGTGCAGCTAAACACATCAGATTGATTGGGGACACTGTCTGGGGTTGTTCTCAGGAATACTGGATTCCTCCTCCCACAAAACCCGTGGCATTGGGTGTTCTCTGCCTGTGCTACGGGGTTAGCTTCATGCCCAGTGGGTACCGGTGCCCGCACTTCCTTCCACTTGTAGGAGGAGGAGGAAGTCCATACTTAAACTCCACGGTAACCATGGTTCCGTTGTCTCAGCAGCCTTGTTCCTCCTGGACGCTGTAAATTCCACATCCTCAGCACCTGAGTGTGCCCAGCGAGTTGACCTTGAACGCCCTTGTATCCCTTGTTCCCCAGTGTGTAGATGACAGGATGCTGCTCTGGGAGTCTGCAGACATGGCGGGGTGGGTAAGGACTGCATGGTGTGATGTACCAGGCTGCCGGGGAGCAGCCAGGAAGCAGTTGGGGAAGGGGTGGTTCCCAGGGAGGCCGTGGGAGGGTCCGAGAGCACACTGCCGCCTGGCAAACCCTTGCCTGAGGTGCAGTTCTGTGGGGCCCTCCTTTTCCCTACATAGAAAGACCCTGTTCCCAGCCTCCTCCTGACCACCCTGGGGCGTTGGGAGAGGGAGCCTCACTGTGATGGGGCCCTGAGGGGCTTCTCAGCCCCAAGCCCATCTCACACTCAGGATATCCTAGCTGGAGAACAGCAACAGGCCACAATGCTGAACCCCTCACTAATTTAGAAGCAGTAACAAAAGAATTTTACTTCCATCTGTTCAGCTGTTAGGGTTCTACATGGAGTGGAGTTTGCAGGCCAGTGGCTTCCTTCGTCACGCCTGCTGTCCCCTCAGTACAGGGAACCCCCTGCAAGGCACGCAGTGCAGGCAGGAACTTGAGTGCAAATGAGCAGGCAGAAGTCATGTTCCTGTTGCACATCTGTGCTCGGGGCAGAGCCCTGCATCGCTGTGCAACAGACCCAGCTGTAGAGATTCCTAATCAAGACTGCAAAGTTATACTTAAGAAGAAGAAAGGTAACCAGGCTTAACTGTTTTGCTTCCTGATTTCCCCAGACTGGTCTTAGCTTTACTAACTTGCCGCCAGTCCACATTCCACTTCGTGCTTTTCTTGAGTCATCTTGACATCCCTTAGTGTTCCTTCACTGTCAGTGCCGCTGGGCCTTCAACCCCATCGGACACCCAAACCAGACTGCATTTGGATCGGGTAAACCCTGCTTAGTGCTGGTGTGCAACTGGACAAACAGCTTCGAAATGACATGTTCCAGCTATATTTTTGAGTAGTTTCTTTGCTGAGAGCATTTTGTGTTTTGAAATCCAACAAGTAGCTCCCAGCTCTCCACCGGAGGAGACCCTTGTGCAGAAGCTGAAAAGAAAAAAAAAAAAAAAAGGAGGTACTGTTCTCTGAGTGAGGAGTGAACTTCCACTTTGACTATGACCTTGTCTAAATAAGATCAATGTCCGCGAACTGAAAAGGCTTCCATAGCCTTGGCAACTGTGACGAGAGCCTAGGGAGATTACTGATGTCATAAACAAGAGTGTCAATTTGTCAAGTCAACAATGGGAGTCACTGTGCACTTACTCCTCATGTAGGATCTCTGTCCTTAATGTGTTGTCCAATGTGAATTAATGCTGTAACTAGAACTCAAACAGTATTTTACACTTTATGTTCTCTGTGGGTACAAACTGATGAAATCTTTACTTAATATATACTAAATTGATCTTCTGTATATAAAGATAATTGAAAATGAATCTAGATGTGAATGGAATGGGAGAGGGAACGGGAGTTGGGAGGGTTGCGGATGGGAGGGAAGTTATGCGGGGAAAAAGCCACTGTAATCCATAAGTGTACTTTGGAAATTTATATTTATTAAATAAAAGTTTAAAAAGTATACATAAATTTCTAAATTGTTTTGTCTAAAATAAACATTCATTTTGCATCCACTTTTCTACTGATTTTGAAGGGTCCTTGTATTGACATTTAAATATTTAAAACCAGACATAATAAAAATTTAATACAATTTTTAAAAGATTTAATTATTTATTTACTTGAAAAGCAGAATGATAGATAGGGAAGGAAGCTATGGGGAAAAACGATATCTTACAGTTGCTGGTTCACTCTCTAAACGACCACAACAGCCATGGCTGGACCAAGCTGAAGGAAGGAGTCTGGAACTCAATCCAAGCCTCCCACTTGAGTGTCAAGGGCCACCAAGGATTTGGGTCATCACCTGCTGATTTTCCGGGTACACCACTGAATCAGCAGTGAAACAATCAGAAGTTGAACAGACATTCTGATATGGAATGCTGGTTTTACAGTTGGTAGCTATACCTCCTGTACAGCAGTCAGCCCCAAGAGTGACCAGTAAAAATTAGAAATCATTTTTAATTTTAATGATAATTCAAATGTTAATAGTGGCTTAAAATAGGGAATAAAATATTAACTTTGTATCTAATAATTGTTGGTTAAAATAAAGTCACATTCACTGAAGAATTTTATGGACAATAAAGGAAAAATAACTTAGAGTCAGAAGATGTTTTATAAATTATTTTTCCTTACATTGACCAGAGATTCTGAGCAAGTTACTTAGGTTTTTCTCAACCACAATTTCATTGCCTATTAATTATGAAAATTAAAATATATATACAAAATAGATATACACTACTTATAGGATTTAATGATTATATAATTGTCCACAATTGTCTTTTATAGTTTTGGGAAAATTGAGGTTTAACAAAAACATTTAGTAAAGTAAAATATGAATTACTTGATCACTTTGAAAGTCTTCAAAGGGGCTAGCTTACTTGGTTTATCCTCCGCCTGCAGCGCCGGCATCCCACATGGGCACCAGGTTCTAGTACTGGTTGCTGCTCTTCCATTCCAGCTCTCTGCTGTGGCCCAGGAAGGCAGTGTAGGATGGCACAAGTGCTTGAGCGTCTGCACCCACATGGGAGACCAGGAGGAAGCATTTGGCTCCTGGCTTCAGATCGGCGCTGTGCCGGCCGCAGCGACCATTTGGGGGTTGAACCAACGGAAGGAAAACCTTTCTCTCTGTCTCTCTCTCACTGTCTATAACACTCTATCTGTCTCTCTCTCTTTCACTGTCTAACTCTGCCTGTCAAAAATAAATAAACAGATAGATAAATAAATAAATAAATTAAATGTCAAAGAAAAACCAGCTGAACAACATCCATAAAAACCCAGAGTTTTGTCACCAAACTATTTTAACTATTAGCAAAATTAAAACTTAAGAGATGCTACTTAAAATTAGAATGATAAAGTGAATATAATACTGAGAGAAAATTAAATAAATTAGAATAAAATATTCAACTTTATGCCAAAATTTTAGGAGTTTAGAAAAATGTACAACTTACTAGGGAAAAATCTGTTGCCATGTTTACTTCAATTGGAAAAAAGAGGTGAATAGTATTCAATAACCATAAAGAAACTGAAAATATCCATCATATTTTGTATAATGTCAGAAGTACCAGAGAATTTAAGGACATTTGACAAATCTCCAAGCAACTAATATTTAACATATACATTATGTAAAAATGTTTCAGATGATTGAGTAGTTGTACAATAATATTTACAGGATGTGTAATCCTGCTGTTTTGTTTATGTTTTAGATATAAAAATTTAAAATATAAATCTCTATTGTTTTGTTTGTATTTTTAAATATAAAAGCACTTTAATGCTCATTTTTATTACAATAAATAAAACATGCTATATCCAAATTATGGAAAACTATGACAAGGTTTAGCAGAAAGATATATAGTTATAAATAATAACATGGAGTAATTCTTAAACATATTTTTCAGACACAAAAGGAAATACAAGATCACACCTGTAAAATGATAGCATTTATATTAAGAGAAAGAATCCTAGGAATCTCAATCAGTACATGCATATAAATCCACAGAAACAGGGCAGGAAGTAAGAAGATCAGTTGAAAGCAAATGAAGGAATGATTTTATTTTTTGCTTTAATCCTTTTATATTAACAATATATATATTTATGCATTACCTATATTTAAAAAAAAAGGTACAGAAACAAATGCAAAAGCACCCCATCTACATGGAACAACCTTATTCACATCAACTTTTCTCAACTACAATATTTTCTCAGTTTCTAACCAGTTTTGAAATGTGTTGTTTATTACAACAAATTTGTTATTTGTTGTATTATTACAGAAGAATAATTTTGAAAGTTTTCCAAAATTATTTTAATTTCTCTTTGAAGATTCTCTTTCTCTTGTTCACTTAGTTATTTGTTACTCAGTTTTGCTTTGTTTTGAGACTAACATGTGCAGGCAAAGATATTGAGAAAGAAGAACACTTATACGCTGTGCATGGGGATGTAAATTAGTACAGCCATTGTGCAATAGAGTATTGAGATTTCTTAAAAATAACAGAAATAGATCTTCCATATGATCCAGCAATTCCACCATAGGGTACACACCCAAGACAAGAACACATTGCATCAAGAGATACCTGTACCACTGTGTTTATAGCAGCACTGTTAACCATAATCAAACTATGGAATCAATGAAGGAATTGATCATTGGATAAATGGATAATGCAAATAGGATATGTACATGTGTGTATATATTAATATATAACATATACACATATACATAATGGGATACTATTCAGCTATAAAAATGAAATTCTACCTTTTGTATTAAAATGGTTGAAACAAAAGGACAACAGGTTTAGTGAATCAGCTGAACATAGAAAATCATTTGCTGTTGTATATTAAATAAATTGATAAATTACAGATAGTACTTTTAAATTGTGGATGGCCTTGGTTATGTAAATGCAATGTGTCATCATCAAGAGAGGCCATGACAAAACAACTCTTATA